ACATTCAAAGTTAATAATCTAGAAATTTATTTTCTTTAGAAGTAATTTGCTTTCAATACTAAGTTAACCTCAGAGAATTTGATTCTTTGTTTTGAGATATTCTGTCTTTTCATCTGTTCAGCAAACATTGATTGAACACCCACTAAGACCTAGACAATCTTACATGTAAGAAGTAATATATGGAATAAAACAAAAATCTGTGACTTCATGAACTTTTCTCTAAAGAGAGGGAGCAAGCAGATCATAATACAAAACATAAAATAAATAGTATTTCACAATGCTAAGTGATATGGAAAGAAAGAAATTTAAAGAAGGCCATTTATAATGGGGCACTATTTTAGACCTTTATTCTGCTATTTCTAAGCCTAGAGGTTTATAAAGAAATATCAACTTTCTTTTTCATAGCATGGTAACTTAAAAGGATTCATTTGTTTTCTTTTGGTCCTTTCACCTATTTTAATGAAAAATTTTGTTTAGGTACCTATTTGTTTATCTCAATTTAAAATTATTCAATACATCCCCTAGTTAGTCCATATGAACACAGATTAACTAGGAAATCTTTGCATCTCTCCATGGATTGTCTGCATTGTAAAAACATTGCATGCTATAAAAGATGCATGTGTTTGTGCTGTAAACCTGACAATATCTGTCTCTCTCATTTATTTTGAAGTGCTGCATTTTTTTTATTTAGAAGGAAATGTTCCAGTGTGATTCTAGAAAAAATAGAAATTAAAGTACTATATTTTGTTTTCTTGAACAAATCTGAAAGAGCTTATTTAAGCATATATGATAGCATAGGTTTGATTTTGAATAACAATTTTTATTGAATGTCATTGTTAGTAGGTACTACACAAAGAAATGCCATTTGTTTAACCTCAGCCATGAATTTTATGTCATTCGCAAAACTAAAATCACATATTGTGGGAACTAAAAGATAGGAGAAGGTAGAATTTCCATTCTCAAAGTGACTTCAGCAACCTAGGAATCAAAGGTAATTCCAGAAATGACCCACTGAGTTGGGCCTCATCATACAATTGCACAATAAAACAAAAATAAGTTGATATTTTATTTTTAAATATTTGAACTTCATACCATACTTTTATAAAACTTATGTTCTCAAATAAAATAAGAAATTATCATCACCTAGATTTTGTTTCCTTTGAGTAGGTCACACCATCCTGAATCTAGGCATCATCTTTCAAATATGTAGAAGTCATTAAATCAATTTACATGTTTGTGAATAACCGTGGCATAAAACTTCTTGGACATGCAAAGCCTCCACCTTTGGACATAGCACTCTCAGTCTCAGCTCATTTTGTTGTAGTTATCTTCTCTACAGGACCATCACGTTTTACTACCTGATGGAAGGTCAAATCAACTTTGTTTCTTTAGCCATTAAATTAATTTTCCTTCTTTTCTGGAACTCTCTATAAAGTTTTAAAGCATCTATGAATCTTCTAGAAGAGGTCACATAAGTTTTACCAGATTTACAAAGAGGTATGTGATTAAAAATTATTTATAGGAAAACTTTGTTTGTGGTCTTTGAAATAAGTGTCTTTCCTTAAGGTTTCAACATAAATTCTAATTCTGTATTCATCTTGAAGGTAGAATATCTACATAAATAAAAGTCATCTGCTTGAGAGATTTATTTATTCTTCCCTCCTTTCCTTCTTCCTTTCCTCTCTCCCTCCATTCTTCCATCTTTCTCCTTATCATTTCTTTGTGAGTACTGATTCAAGTATTCTTCTTATTTTTATCAAGATGTGAGGGGGTCATGAAAAAAAATACACGATGCAAATTGTATCCTCTTATACTTCTACATAGACATTAATTATTTTCCATATTCTTACCTTAAATCAACATGATGTTAAAACATCCAGTGTTTACAAATTTGTCTTTCTCTTTTGGAATAAAAGCTTTAACATGGATTTCCTTCATCTGAATGCACTTTACTTGATAGTTGTCTATGTCACTTAAGGTTCTTATAGAATGACATGTAAGGCAATCCTAGTCAAAATCATACTCTGCTTCCTTTACAGCTTTGGGATTAATAGTTTAAGTAATCCCACTCCATAAAGAGCTAGTTTGATGTATCTGCAATTATGTACTTTTGTCTCTTCAAGCCTTCATGTTCAGACACTGACTCTTTTTGTTCAATATCATATTAATTTTTCAGCTTTGCGTAATACAAATTACTGGTTCTGATAACACACGATTAACATTGGTTTCTAACAAAAGCATCTTTTGGACAAATTTTAACTTTCCTTATTTGAAGAGCAGTCTAAAATCATGCAGAGAATTTAGGATTTCCATTATTTGGAATTAATATTGTTGCCAAAAGTAGACAGTTTTTAAAACTCTGCTTTATGAGTGCATTTAAGAATATATTATAGTTTGATATTTTATTACTTTTAATAAATTAAACATTATTTCAACCATACAACATACAGCTTTATTTTTTAAAATAAGGTTAAATTGTCATTAATGTTTCCATTAATCTTATCAAGCTATTTTATTGATATGATTTCCTATAACTACTAAATGAGTAATTTGAAACAAAGTACTTCTATCATTTAGCATTTTCTACATTGAGTGGTTATTTATAATTTAGGTTTCCTAGAATATGCTTGTAAATGTTATATAGGCATACTGTTTCCAACTGATAAAGACTTTCACATCTGAGGAAACTTCAACTAATTCCTTATTCCTCTGACTGTGGCATGCCTGCAAGTGATTCTCTGGAGGTAAATGGTGGGCAACCTATATTCTGGAACCCAGCCTGGTTCACATATGGTTGTCACTCACTTGGTACTTGAGTGTATAAACCCTAATCTAGCATTGCCAAGAAAACTGAAAGGCATTTGCAAAAGACATCTTTGCTTAGCTTCTTTAAAGCATTCTCATTGTTGGAATGCCTGGGTGCTCAGTCAGTTAAGCGTCTGCCTTCAGCTCTGGTCATGATCTCAGGGTCCTGGGATTCAGTCCTGCATCACATGGAGCTCCCTGCTAAGCATGGAGCCTGCTTCTCCATCTCCCTCTGCCTGACACTCCCTCTGCTTTTGCTCTTTTTCCCTCCCTCTCTCTCTGTCTCAAATACATACATACATATTTACATTTTCATTGTCTTCAAAGGAAATCCAAACTTCTTTTATATTAATTTTATATATTATTATTTATTATATTAATAATAGTCATCACTTATTGAGCTCTAACTTCATGACATTTATTTTTTCATTAGTTTTTCCAACAAATACATGTGGCTAATATTGTTATGGACATTTTATAAAAGATGGAAATTAGACACAGAATAATTAATAACTGTCTAATGATATTTAATAACAGTTACAGCTGGGTTTCAAACCCAGGTCTCTATGACTGCAAAACTTGACAATGTAATTATGCATCTACATTGTGGCTCCTGTGTTGCACTTAAGTTCATTCCACACTGCAGCCACTTGGACTCTTCAGATTCTGTAAACTAGCCTCATTATGCTATTGTCTCAGCTTAGAATGACTTTTGTTTTCATGTTTCAGCACTTCGAGCACCATGACTCACATCAGTAGAAGATCATTAAAAGGATTTTAGAAATGAATGAATGACAGTCTCAACGTTTCTCTTTGCATTTATCAAATCTATACATGTATGTGCATGTGCACATTTACATATATTACTGTGGCCTGAGCATTGTTACAATTACTCAAATTATTCAGTCTTTTTTTTTTTCAGATTAAAAAAATAAAAGTTACAAAGCTAGATAGTTCATGCTGGAAGACAAGGGTCCATACATAATATTGGTAGAATTTTACAATTTTTTATAATAATCCATAAGAACTAGCAAGAAGCATAGTTCCACAAAGTATTCAATATGAATTTTTTTTATTAAGAAAAGGTGTTTAGGAAGCTGTTTTATCTGTCTGTGTCTCTAGACTATACTGATTTTAGCTTAAAATGCCAGTAGTTTTAGAGGTTTCTTTAGTTGATTCCTCACCAAAGCAAAACTATTTTGAAATTACTATATCAGTATAAGAAAGATATATGTTTTTTGTACATGTACCTGCTGAAATCACATACATCTTCTAAAGTTTTTTTTTTATATTTTAAATGACACACAGTTTGCCAGAAATCATTTTCTTGCACACAATTTAATGATTCTCTAATTTTATGCATCATATCAATTAAATTTCCTGTTATTTACACATTTGTCAGTAAGACAAAGGGAAACGAAACTAACAAAGAAGGAAAAATAAAATAATTCAATAAAACAATTTCTAAGGAAAACAGTCTGTGATTATGGTAGTGTATGGTTATACTGCACAGAATTAGCATTCTTTAAGTTCTCTAGAAAATCAATGAGAAATAAAAATTGGTTTAATGAGTAAATATTCTGTTGAACAAAGACTTTGTGTGTTATAAGTTCATTTGTCTAAATATGATATTAATTTTCAGTTGGATTTTGAAGTTTGTTTATATGAAAGAGGAAATCCTTTCTCTGAAGATTCATTTTAAGTTGTTTTGAAATGTTAATCATTAAATTATCTTAAAGTAAATGTTATACTTTATTAAGGGTCCTGAATGAAAATATTTTGACACACATACTTTATCTTTTAGTGTTGGAGTATTCTATTTCTTCTCTTCTCTTCAATGTTAAAATATATTTAATATAATATTTCAAACTGAAAAAATAAACTACAAAAAGTTATCTATATTTTCCATAGATTGTCATTTATCATTATATGGAAATAGAGGCTTTTCATTTCTCATAAATGAGAAAATTGTTAGATGAAAATCTTTCAAAGTGTTTACATGTCCAATTTGGAATACTTTTGATAATCAAAATTTCAAAAAAAATTGTAATTAGTGTTTGACATGCAGTGATTTTAATATGTCAATTTAGAATATCAGTATATATTAACTCACAAAATAGATTCTTCTAAAATTTGGGAGCTCTCGTGTAACTTTGTTTATTGTTCTCACTTTTATTATTTATTTATTGTTGCAGATTAAAAAAATCAACAGAAATTTTCCTGTAAACCAGCAGGTAAGATGGAAAAGTACTTGGAGAGACATATCATGCATTTTTTCCATTGTATCTATTATAGAAGATAATCTTGATTGCACTTAATATTTACGTGGTAATAATTGGCACTATCATTTGCTCTCCAGGAAAATACATACTTTATTAGATTTCTTTCATATTATGTGATATATCTGTTTCTCTAATCATATTAAAAGCAGTTTTAAAAAATATTTTATCTAAGTAAACTAAGTAAAAACTATATTCAACAAGATACATATATTTATTTAAATATAATATTGAAGACCTAAGAGAGCTATTTCCATAAAATAGTTTGACTGTATCTTAACATGTGGGAAACCTATTTTGTAAATTTTAATTCCAGTTATTTAACATATAATGTATTATTTATTTCAGGGATAGAATTTAGTAATTCATCAGTTGCTTAAAACCCCCAGTGCTCATTAAATCAAGTGTCCTCCTTAATGCCTTTCACCCAGTCACCCCATCTCCTGACCCAGCAAACCTTAGTTTGTTCCCTATAGTCAAGAGTTTGTCCCTCTCCATTTTTATCTCATTTTATTTTTTCTTCCCTTCTCCTATCTTCATCTGTTTTGTTTCTTAAATTCCACATTTGAGTGAAATCATATGGTATTCATCTTTCTCTGACTGACTTATTTCATTTAGCATAATACACTCTAGTTCCATCCACATTGTTGCAAATGGCAAGATTTCATTCCTTTTGATGGTTGAGTAATATTTCATGGTACACACACACACACACACACCCCATATCTTCTTTATCCATTCATCCATTAATGGACATTGGGGCTCTTTCCATAGTTTGGCTATTTTAGACACTGCTGCTATGAGCATTGGTGGCCATGTACTCCTTCAAATCACTCTTTTTGTATAGATCTATGTTTAATTGATCTAAAAGTTAGAAAAAATTTTCAAAATTAGGTGAAGGTATTTTACATGAATCTAAATGAATGTGTAGAATGAAAGTGATGTCTGATTAATCTAGCCAAGAATCTAGTTGATTTATTAGACTATTGATTATAGAATAAAATAATTGATTATAGAAAATAATAATTCTACTTATAATTTTATTAAGCTGAGCTTAACTTTTACTTTGCCTCATAAACATTATAAAAACATTTGTTTGAATGAGGAAAGTAAATATAGGCTCAGTTTTGGACTCACTCAAGTCAGCAGTGTGTCAGGTTTGTGTGATGATAGAGAAGCAAAGGCCAGCCATGCATTTCTTACCCTTGACACCAACCTCAATGTGTAAAAAATGATCAAGATCTAAATATCTAAGCTATCTATTTATAAATGGTAGACCAGTCACAAGTTAATTTCAATGGTAAAAATTTTAAATAACCCTCTTATGAAAACTAAGTTACTTTTATCATCTAAACCTCAGTTCCTTCATTGGTAATATTTTTAAAGTGCAACTACATTACATGTTTATTTTTGAAGATTAAATAACAAATGTGAAATTCTTGGTATATGCCATTATTAGCACTAATGTGTTAAAATTTTAAATTTGTTTTTTAGAACATATAATTTATATTATTGCATAAATTATATTATTAATGGTGCCACTAGCCCACACTAGCCCACAAAGTTATGTGTGACTGAAATACTAGTGAAAATAAATCTGGATAGATCAGTATGTCTACAAAGCTGTGAACTATGTCTTTCCAGCCATAGGCATACCCCGTTTCCTAACCTCAGGTCCTCACACCTGAGTCATGCTGATATTTTAGGTAGATGTAGAAGTTGGAGAGATGTATGTATTGTGTGTCTCTTCACATTCCACTGTGGTTATGTCTCATGCCTTTGTTTGTGGTGCAGAGATCAGGGCTCTATCCCAGAGCTACTGATACACTTGTTCTGTGATGATACTTGGGAAACTCCCATTGTGACTCCCATTCCATTCCAGATGCTTCTGATCCTAGTAGGATGTTACATAGGAAATACAGTTTAACAATTGTATAGAGCTATAGTGGATGGAAAATTCATTAATGAGAAATTATTAAAATAGAAAGGAGCATCAGCCTTTGATGAAGGTTGTAATGCCCATCAGTAAACATAGTCATTTTATAGTCAGATACATAAAAATGTAGATCTGCTCATTTGTGGAATCCTTGCTAAAAATATGAATGATAAATGTTTCTTTAAGAATGACTCCAATATCTGTGTTATCATCCTTCCTTGCCCTTTCTAACCTCAACATGTGAAGAAGTATTAATAATTAATGTAATTTATGTTGCTATAAATATTTCATAATTGTAATAACCCACAGGTATTATTTATGATGACAGCTACATTTGACACTTCCTACATTTTCCCTTCAATAGCCTGTAGGATACTTTGCCACCTCTGCATTTATCTAGGTTTTGAATAATAGTAAAATAAATAAGAATCTGAAAAAACTTAAATATAGAGTAAATAATAAGAACTGTTTACTATTCCAACCCACACATATATAATAAATGTAGGTAAGCATTAGCATCCTTAGCTTTTTATTTTCTAGATTTTTAATAATATTATACCAAAATTTTATTTGAAATCTCTTAGCTTCTCACATTTTTTAAAATAATAATAAATTCTTTTTGGCATTTTAACAACTGAAAGCAAGAGTTAATAGATTTTTACCTTACTACTTTCCATCATGGAAATGAAGACATCCAGGATATAGGATTTGTTTATAGTTCAATATTCATATTTCCACACCATTGGAAAACTTGCCTGCATAATTTGATAGCAATGCATTGGGAGACCAAGGTACATTCCCTATTTAATAAAATGTGAGTTACTTTAATGAATAAACATCTGAAAACACATATAATCTCATTTCTTCTCCAGATTTAGCATTCAAACAGGACTCTTGAGCTAAACAACATTGTGTTGCTTTAATATCAATTTTTTTCTAACTTAATTTTCATGTAAAGTTTTCTGAAGCTTTGATTATAAATATACATGTTTATACATATGTTTTTGATTGAATAATTTAGGCATATGTCAAAATAGTCAAGTGTTATGAATGAAAATCAAGCCCCTTCATATCCCCGATGCTCTATGTCTGAAAAAAATAAATAAATAAAATAAAAGATGCCACCCACTCGAACAAAAGTCTTCTGCTTCCTCTGGGATTCAGTTTGAATTTGTGCTTTCATGTGGTACAGCTACCCCAACCAGAAAAAATTAGAATAAAATAAAACATAAAGGGGACTGGAGGATATTACTATTGTCTAACGGGGCCGATGTTAGAACTTAGCTCTGTAGGGACACTCCCACAAACCAGGATGCATGAGACTTTCAGTAAATTACTCTCATGAAAGATTTAAATCCAAAATGTTAAATTATTGAGTAAATACATCACTATAGGGGAAATCATAATTTAGAGATTAAAAAATTCAAAATTATTTTTTGAGGCATGGAGGGATAGAGGAGAGGGAGAGAGAATCTTAAACATGTTCCATGCTCAGCACAGAACTGATGTGGGGCTTAATCTCATGACCCTGAATTATGATCCAAGCCAAAATCAAAAGTTGGACATTTAAATGACTGAGCCACCCAGGCTTCCCCCCAAAAATCCAAAACTATTTTAAATTATCATGTGCTCTTTAAGTAAAGGAATGGAAATTATAAGTCAAGAACAGGATATGGTGTTAAAATATATGGATTTTCAAGAGAATCAAATAGGAGTTAAAATTTTTTAAAAGAGCATATTTAAAATTAAAATCAGTATATGTGCTGCTGAAGCAAGCACTAAAATTAAAATCAATTAACCAAGTGAATAATAGAATAGATGAAGATGAACTGAAAGGGAATGTGATCAGAATACAGCACACACAGAAAAGGGTAAAAAAAATAAAAGTTAATGTAAGACATGAATTTTAGAATGAGAAACTAAAAAAAAAAAAAACAACTTCAGAAAGACTGGAAAAAATGTATGAAGGTCAATGTATGAAGAGAGACATGGCTAAGAGTTAATGTGAGTCTTCAGATTAAAGACTGAAGAATCTTCAGTCCAGGCTCAGATAGGGCATGGATTAAATAGAAATAAATCCACACCAACAAAGGATCTGAAACAACCTCAATATCCATCAGTGGAATACTTTGCAACCATTAAAAGGATAAACTAGTTCTGTTGGTACTAGTATAGAAGGCCATCCAAGAAAGTTTATTAAGTGGTAATAGTGAAGAGAAGAATAGGAAACAGAATAAGCCACTGTGTTTTAATAAAGGAGTTGGAAAGTTACATACACATGTTCTTATTACAGAATTAAAAAAAAAAATCTTGAGGAGTTACAGAAGAATCAGGTAAAGGTGTCGAATATGAGAAATATTATAGCCCAGTCTCCTTCCCGTTGTGAGGGTTCCATTCCCAAGTTCCTGTGCTTAAGCCTTATGCCTTTCCCTGGTAAACCCTCTCTTTTCAATTTCCACTCATTTTATTGATTTAAGTTCCCTATTCAGTTCCTGCAACAAGGAATTGCATTTTGTTTAGTTTTGTCTTGAGCTCAGGTGTGTGTTAGCTCCATTGTTCCTGATACAAATTCTATTTTCCAATTCTGCATATAAGGATCAGCTCAGACTACCTTATTTATTTGACATCTTTTGGCTTTGGTCTTTACTATTGGAATAATTGGAAAATTTATGTGCTTGCCATATAAGATGTATTTCTAAGATGTGTCAGGTTGAGCATCTTTATGTGACATCAGTTTATATTTTTATCTGTCCACCTTCAAATTTTCAATATGTTTCTATTTTCTTCCTATTTTTTTTGTTAGAACTGCAAACTCAATACATGAAGGACATTTACCCCTTGTATTTCTCTGTGGCCTTAGTTAGCAAAAGAAAAAAAAAAAAAAAAGTATGTAGGGGCAGAGAGAGAGAGAGAGGGAGAGAGTGAATCTTAACCAGGCTCTACACCAAGTGCAGAGCCTGACAAGGGATTTGATCTCACAACCCTGAGATCATAACCTGAGCCAAAATCAAGAGTTGGA